GCGTCGCAGACCGACCAACGGTACCGCAAGACGTGCAATTGGCTCGCAGCCGCCTCTTTCTCCTCCTCCTCCTTCCTCTTCGCCACCCGCTCCTCTTCCTCATCATTCGCTTCACCTTCCCCTTCGTCCTACCGAACTGGCGCCTCCATCCGACAGGCCGCAAGTCGCCCCGAGGGGTCACAAGCACACGGGATCGCACAAATCGGTCGTCAACACTGCCTCGGCCAGGCTGGAGATGGGATCACGCAGACGACCGTCTCCACTGCCGCCTGACCGACCGGTTCTGCCGACCGGTCCGGCGCAGCTCAGTGTCGACAAGTGCTTGCAGACGTTTCTGGCAAGTTCTCGTGTCGCCAAAATGATGAATGCCCAGCGCAACAATGCGGCCTCGGCGAGTGTGAGAAATCCCAAAGACGAGGGCAGACAACAGACAATGCCGAAGCCGATGCCGATGCTGATGCCGATGCCTCATTTGAAGCCGTCCGAAAGTCACGTCAACGGCGTTGCAGAGGAGCCGTGTGCCGCGACTGCTTTGCACGCGAAGCAGGCCAAGTCGCAGACTGAGGCAAAGTCCGGTCGACCTGTCTGGCTGGAGCGGATATCTTCACGTCTGCTGAGGAAACGATTCAACAAAACGCTGTGCGACTGTCAGGCCGAGTCGCAGCGTCAGAAGCACAATCGTCATGTGCATCGGTCGCAGGTGGCCGAGTCTCCGCTCAAGCCTGCAGCCAGTCAGCATCGTTGTCGTCATCAACAGCTTCAACATTGCGGCCTACGGGAGCACTATCTGTCTGAGACTGAACGCAAATGGCTCGATTGGAAGTTGGCTCGGTATCGTGAGAAATTGTTGGCCAACTATTGTCAGTCGACGTTCAATCGTTGTCGTTCGGACAGTTGTTCTTCCGTGTCTTCGGCCAATTCTGCTGCCGATCCGGCCAAGCTGGCCAACTCTGCCACTCTGGCGGATCGTGGTCTCTCGCTTCTGCAGCCCAGTTCACCGTGTTCCTCTCCGGCTTCCTCCTTTTCCTCGTCACAGTCTGACTCGTCTATCGAATGGCAAGAGGTGGGAAAGCCGTCGTTTGTCCAGACAATTCAACCGACCGGACAGTCGCAGGCTATGTTTGATCACAACAAAATGTCGTCACATTCTCATGCCTGTCATTATCGTCTTCATGATCGGAAACATCAGCAGCAGCATCAGAAGCAGCACCAGCAGCAGCAGCAGCAGTTGCCTTTGAAGGAGCTGCAGTCACTTGCACAACGTCACCATCATACCTCTCGGCATCCTCATTGACAGACTTTTGGTGAAACGTGTTCATGTTGGCCAATCCGACCTTTTTCTCTTCTGAACCACATATTTTGTCGTAATTTTAACACTGCTCTATCATCTCTCCACCTCTCTACTTTGTGCAGGCACATTTTCTAACCGTTCTGTCCATGTCGGCCGACTGAAAACGCGAGAGGCTTACACGTTGAAATTGGTTCTCTTTGACAGGTGGGATTTTTTGTTGTGTTTTTTTATTTCACTCTTCTACTACGAGACACGGCCCTATACACATTGTATGGTACACTAACTTCATCTGCCGGCACTCACCACACGATTGTCTTTCTGCACATCCCTATTTCTCTCCTTATTTCTTGAGGGGATGGGTTCGCCCATGTCGTGTAAATATCCTCTCGAAACTTTGCTAGTGCAACCGGTATCTGTATCGTCCTTGTTGTTCACTGTTGCCTATACACAGCTCGATTTTGTTTATTTTTACTACTATTCCGTCTTGTGAATTCGCTATTTCACCTACTCATAAAAGTCGACTTATCTGTCTCCCATTTTCATTATCCAATTTTGCTCTTTTTTAACCTCTATCCTTTTCATTCTCTCCTTAGGTTTAATTATCCCCTCCATCCCAATGCTGGCCCATCCTCTCGGTCCATAATCAACAATCTCCATTCTTCCCTTACAATCCATCTTGCCACTGTCTTCAACAATCAGGGAATTCCTCTTACTGCTATTCCGAATAATTTTATATGATGCTACCAGTCTATCGCCTTGAACGATCTTTTGCCTGCGTCCCATGCACTCAATGCACCCAATTTTATTATAGTTGAGAAATGTTTGCTTGTCTCATTCCCTTTTTTCAGGTCTTCCATTTCTTGTTACCACGACTTTCGGAAATCTATCTTGCCATTTGCACGGACTTCTTCTTCATGATATGCTAGATTTGCAACTTGCCACTCACTTCAATGGCAGGCGCAAGGGGTGAGAAAGAATGCTGCAATATTTGGTCTCTTGTTTGCTCTGACGTTGAAGCACACGTATTGAGGTTAAGAGTGCAATTGGTCATAGCATTTGTCTTTATTCCCCTTTTCAACTGTTGGATGTTGATATGAAGAAAAAACTGGGTTTCGTAGTATTGTGGCATGACTCTCCATTTTGAGGGGGAATTCGATTGGAATGAATTCGCGATATGGTCTCACCGGGAACCGAAGGAGGATTTTCGCTTAAGGAAGACTGTTGAATTGTGCCAAGAAGTCCTCGGCTCAGCGTTTTGTAATGCCGATGAAACTGTGCTAAGCTCTCGTCTGTACCGTCGTGACAGACATCATCAGAGCATGATTACCTACTTTACGAAATAGAGCGAAAATAGACTAAATATACT